TCCCCGGGCTGAACCCGCCCTCTCTCCCTCCTCAGCTGATGGCGTTCGTAGCAGAGGAGAGGAAACGTTACACGGTCTACCCGCCCCCCAACCAAGTCTTCACCTGGACGCAGATGTGCGACATCAGAGATGTGAGTAGAGCTGCAGGTGCCGGGGAGAGGCGGGGGCGTCGCTCCAGCCGCTGGTGCGTTTAAAACGGTGGAAGCGCGGGGCTGGACGCGCACACGCAGTCATTTGGTGTTTGGTCTCTTAAGCTTCGACCCCGTGTCGCGTGGATGCTGCCGTTTCTCTCGCGTAACTTGTAAATCCCGGCTTCTCTTTCATCTCTGATGCTGAAACGTGGGTTTACTGCTTTATTACCCTCACCGGCCACAGAATTTCCTTTAAAGCTTTAGCTGGACTTTTGACCTGACTTCCAGAGTTACCAACTCAATGTAGCGCTTGATTTTTGGAGCTCGTACATCTCTTGTTTTTTTAATCTATCTGTAATGAACTATAATTAAAAAAAAAAAGGACGGTATTTAAGGTAATCCCATTGCCGATACGCTGTGTCAAAAATATCACAGCAAGTGTGGCATAAAACTAAAATGTGAGGAAATCTACTTGGAAAATACCTTAACAAGGTGTTTTATTGTGGCTCGTCGAAAATGTCGATCTTTTGCACTCAAAATATCTTCATAATCTTAGCAGCAAAGCTGTGGTGATGTTAATCCTTAGCGTTAGGTGGGGACTGTGTCCTTTAACTTGTTTATAATGAGGTGTCAGTGATTTAACTTCAGTTCCTGGGGTTTGGTGTTTGGGGTTTTTTTGTCTGTGTCTTTTTTATAGGATAAAGCTAATTTATAAGCTTTTTTGTTTTCCTTCCCTCTTTTGGGAATAATACTGATTATAATTCAGTGCTAACAAAGATCTGCTTTCAGGTAAAGGTTGTCATTTTGGGACAAGATCCATATCATGGACCTAATCAAGCTCATGGGCTCTGTTTCAGTGTCCAGAAGCCTGTTCCACCTCCCCCCAGGTATGACAGCGCTCAATTTGCCAAATCCCTGTTGTTACTTACGGCTGTGAGCCAGATAACTGATAGGAAGTGTGTTGTGACTACTGAAATTTGAGTTGTGCCTTACCTAGAAAAAAAAATCACTGCAAAATTATGGGTAATTCGATATAGTTTGATATTCTCAGGAGCGTGCTGGATGTAAATTTGCGTTTTCAGTTGTGCTGAGACCTTCTCATTAAGCTTCTATCCAGGCACACACAGGGGGTCCTTGTTACCCTGCTTCTACAAATGGCTTTATTATCTTAAATGATAAGATTAAAATCAATACTCTTCTTGTCTAGTGTAAGAGCAGTAAGCGGTGCTGTTTGCTCTTATCTTTAACCGTGCATGTTTAAAATCTTCTGATGTTTTTGATTGCAGTTTAGAAAATATCTACAAAGAACTGTCTACGGATATTGAGGACTTCACTCATCCTGGTCATGGTGACCTAACTGGCTGGGCCAAGCAAGGTGAGTTAATGGTCACTCTACCAATGGTGATTCTAGTCACTCAGGTCATGAAGAAGCCTAGTGAGAAGAAAAGGCCCATGGTTGGAAACAGTCCATCTGTAAAAGAGAAAATCAATTCTGAGTGCCTGTCGCTTAGCAGGTACCTTAGGATGAAAATTTAATTTATCGTTTCTCAGGGGAAGCAGGAAAAAGCAGCTAATGCTTGATTTTTGTTTCATCCTCTGTGTATCTGCTTTGTTTGCTAGGAGTGCTGCTACTCAACGCTGTTCTAACGGTGCGAGCTCACCAGGCCACCTCCCACAAGGAGAGAGGCTGGGAGCAGTTCACAGATGTGGTGGTGTCCTGGCTCAACAAGAACTTGCACGGGGTTGTCTTCATGCTGTGGGGAGCCTACGCCCAGAAGAAAGGCAGCTCCATTGACAGGGTACAGGTTACTCCTCCTCTCTTCCCTCTCACTAATTTTTTTCATCAGTTGGGTGGACACTAGAGGGCACTTTCCTTACAGAGTTGGGGTTTTCTCTCCGCTTGAACTCTGCTGTCAAATTTAGTTGCCCTTCTGTTCCAGCTTAGCCTTTGCCAGAATTAAGCAACAAAAGTGGGGCAAGTGTAACCTTCTCTTGTCAGAAAAGCATCCATATGAGGACAGAACTGTTTTTTCTAGGAAAAGGCTCATGAATAAGTATAAAACTTGCCGTTAGGATTACAGCAATTGAAAAATGGCCAGGGTGTTACTGCTGCCTGATGTATTCCATCCTCCTCTGCTCAGTGGGATAAAAGTCTTGGTCTTCATGGCCAGTTCTTTGGGTCCTCAGGCTGGTGGCTGAGGAGGTGTAGAGAGGAAATCACACCGGTTTGGTGGGGCAGAAGCAGCCAGCCTTGTCCAGGGAGCTGAAAGCATGCAAATCTAACGAGCGGTTTCCTCTTAACGCTTTACAGAAACGCCACCACGTCCTGCAGACGGTTCATCCCTCGCCTCTCTCTGTCAACAGAGGGTTTTTTGGCTGTCGGCATTTCTCGAAGACAAATGAATTGCTCAAGAAATCCGGCAAGAAGCCCATTGACTGGAGAGCGCTCTGAGCTGCACGCAGAAGCTGGTGGGGTCTAATGGTTGGAAACAGCCCCTGTTTCAGGGGTTGTCTCATTTCTGAAAAACTTCTGCTGACCTGAGAATTACTCTTTGGATGTTGATCAAGGAACAAATGACCAAGCTTTCAGAAGTGTTGTATTTTTTTAAATGTTTCTTGAAGAGCAGATTGGAGTGCTACATGGACAACTTCTCTGTTTGAACAGGTCTCAGCCTAGTTTGAATCAGCAAAGGAAAAAAGACGAGTTCTGTATTAATTTGTGTTCACTGTTGTAATGGGAATATATTTTCAGGCTCTTGTGAAGTGATACCAATTCTTACAGGTGAAGCTGTTCAACTTTTGTAAATACCCTGCTGCACCTCCTCCTGCTTCTTTGCCTCCTACTATGCAAATCCAGATTTCGTATTTGGAGTGTGTGGAGATGGCTCCACAGGAGAAAAGGCTTTTGGTTTTAGCTTTTTGCTACAGATTATGAGATTTATTAGAAATATGTCCTCTTGGCACTGTAAAGACTGTACACAGTCAGAAGTCTTACTTGGTGTATCTCTACTCTCAAGATTTCAGGGTTAATCATCCCCCCCAGCTGAGGGGAGACTGTGACAGAGGCTCTGGTTGTGCTCTGAGGTTTTTGTTGGCATTTAGAGAGGAAAACCGTAATTTTTTTAGATTCTTACTGGATGTGTTAATCACTTGGATGACAGGTGAGTTGTGATGACCACAAACTTTGTGGTACCTGCCAATGGCAGCAGCAAAGGTTTGTTCATCAAGATCTGCCAACTGATGGGTCGATGGATGCAGATTATTAAAGATCTCTTAAGATCTTAAAACAGAAGGATTTTTGTGCTTTGCCTTCATAGGAGCAAATCGAGGTTTCTAGCCACTGTTGAAAATAACTGTTGGGACTTCCAGGATGGAGACAAGATTGGGCTTTGCACTTCTGGGTTTCCACGCCATCTTTGACTTCATAATTGCTTTAATGGAAGTGAAGTGCCTTCTTCGTTGGGAAATTACATCAGTTTTTATAGAATAACGCTGTAAACCTTTCTTTGGTATTTGCTCTGATAGGTAACACTAGTACAAGTGAAGTTTACACTTTCTGTGGCTGTGTTGTATTTTTTTGTTTGGGTTGTTCCCCTCCCCCTGGCCCCGTTTGTTGTTTTTTTTTTAATAAAAATTACTGTGTTTACGTTGTGGTGTGATCTTACATTGGTAGGAACAACGCAGGGAGGGAGGGAAGGGTGCCTGAGGTGAGGCCCTGGCTCTGCAATTCGTGCTGGCCTGGGGGGAGGTCCCTGCTCTGCCTGGGGGTTTCCCCCTGCTCCCCCCCGCCCGGGGAGGCAAAGCCG